TACCATAATTTTATTATTAGTATCAATTTATCATAAAAAAAATTGTAATTACCATTTCCAATTATGATTAACTTATTATTAAAATTTACTATTTATAATAAAACTTATTATACTTAGTTTAAATTTTTTTACCATAAAAAAATACATTCTTTCTTATACAATATATTCATGAAAATTTAAGAAATTATTATATAAAAAATACATTCTCTTTCATGCAATATATTCATGAAAAAAATAAGAAATTACATTAAAATTTTTAAGATTTTCTACTTAAGATTTTTATTTTAAAAATTAATTTAAAAAATAAATAGTAAATTTATGCAAATTTAATGGAGAATATGTTATCAGAATCTTATGAATTTTTTTCATAATTTACTTCAATAAGAAAAATAAATTAAGTGTAATTCAATAAGAAAATGTATTATGGCCATTTAATAAAAAATAGTCGGGTGTTGGAACATTTTGCAAAAAAAATACAATAGTTCGGGAGATATTATGAACAAAATATGCTTTAAGGAGCAGGGTAATTGTAAATTCGAACATAGTTTTGAAAGTTTTTTACACTTTATCCTAATTATAATAACCAAAACTCCAATGAAATTTTGAGTTTAAATTTGAGTTGTGATTATAGGCATTCCCACTGTCCAAACATCACTATTATATAAAAAAAACTTTTTTATCTGAATGATAGAAATCAACCTTTAAGAGTTTGGATAGAGAAAACAAAAAAACTTTTGAAGAAAATAGTAATTATATTTTCTCTATCATAAACTCGATCGCAAACTCACTATGTGCATGTGAGAAATAGGACATTCGAAATGAGCAAAATTCACACTCACTTTATTTCTGAGCATATAATAGACAACTTGAAATGGTGAGTGAGTGAGCAGGGGCAGAGCCAGAATCTAAAAGTAGCGGGGCTAAAAAAAAATTTAAAGCAGAGGATTTACTAGGAAAAAAAAAAAAAAATTCAAACAGAGAAGATGATAACGATAACAACAACAATATCGATGAACATTTAAATAATGGTAAATCGAGGCAGCATATGAAAAATCCCTAATTACAATTAATTTCAGTTTTTGACTCAGGTTTGATGTAAAACACTAGAATCAATACGGTGTTCAAGTCTGCACTGGTGAATTTGAATTGAGTACAATAGACATGTATCAATAAATCCAAATGTCCGCTAAGAGCAGACTCGGACACCGTATTCAAATTCACCAGTACAATGGCTATCTCAAGATGCCTATTTTTGGTGTCATTAAACAAAATTGGAAGCTTCAAATCAATTAACCAAATCAAAAACAAGAGCGGCATCATTAAGTTTGGAACCAATAAGCAAGCGAATTAAAACGCAATAAGATCTAACAGTGAATCTAAACCCATAAGAATCAAAAGCAAAATGAAAGAAATTCAAAACAGTTTTTGGGTTCAGTGATAAGTGAGTGTCAAAGAGAACGAATTGGGAAGGAGACAAATGGGCTACAATATCTTTACATTTAGAGGAATCTAGAAATGGGTTCCTAGAGTATGTCTTTGTTTCAAGCTACAATTCGTCCATTGGTTTATCATGGTTGGTCCAGCCTAATGGGTTTGGCCTTGTTTGGGCTCAGTTTTTGGCCTGTGCTTTATTTATCATTTACGTTTTATTATGAATTGGGTAGCTTGGGTTGGGTTATGGCTGATTGGGCTGGGTTATGGCTGATAAGAAATACTAATGTTATTTTTTTTTTTTTTTTTTGGACCTTGGCTATAGCCCAGGTTAACTCACACATGGTTCCGCCCCTGTGTGTGAGTTTCAAATTCAAAAACAATTTTTTTTTTTTTTAAGTAATAGATTTATTCTGCTCTATAATATGTGAAGTTTCATAATCACAAACTTTAAGCCTATTCTTTTTCAAAAAATAAAAAATAATAATATTAAAAAAAGGAATAAGCTAGATAGAAAATAATTCATTACCAATGAGTTTTCCAATTTATACATCGAATTAATCTCATGATCACGTGCTTACACAAATTCGTCTAAAAATTATTTTTTATTTAAATAATAATATATATAAATAAAAGGAGTTGGCTTAGTTATGGAACCTAAGAAGACCTCTCATCCATTAAATGCATTATGTGACTGATCGAGCATTACTTAAAAAATAATGATACATAATAAGTAAATTTAAAGTTGAATGTATCTAATTAATTTACGTAAATAAAAATAATATCATTATTTGATGTTATACTCTCGAACTTTTTATCATTACTTACGCTTAAATGGAGAAATTTTCGTCACTCTGATTCAATGGGCTCTTTGGGCAAGTGTTATCATTCCTCTTTCCATTTATCTTATATTTATTTATTAAAGTGTATGTTGTGATTTGTGGGCTGTGAGTGTGGTGGGCAGGCAGAAAATGTTGAAACAACGAAAGCAAAAGGCCATTACTTCATGCGTCATGCATGACGTCCTATTTGAAGTACACTTTCCAAACGGGTGTGAACGCGGTAGTAATTGTGGACTTTTTGCATTCACCCAAAAAAAAAAAAAAAAAAACACAAAGGTTAAAAGTTATGTTCTTGTAGTACAATTATAAATAGATACAATGCAATCATAAATACATATTGATCCTAAGAAAAAAAAGTCTTTAAAGAGTGATGAAGACAACTAGACATAAAGATAAGTTCGGGTCATTTCTTTCTCCCTCGCGTAACATCCTGAGTCCGTTCTACTCCTTACTGTAATAGAAGCGGGAGTGAAAAAAATAAAAAATAAAAAAATCAAATTGACAAACATTCACATGCACGTTAATTAAGTCAAAATTGGTCTCTTTTTAACAAACTCAACTTAATTAGGAAGATTGCAATAAAATTAACATAATTAATTATATATGCATGTGAAACTTTTGACAAAAGATATATATATATATATCTAGCGCGTTTCCTTATCTTCCTCGTGCATGGATTAGAATCCTTCAACCACTTTTCACTTTTAAAAGCATTGACGTCATTTTATTTAAGTTTCGTTTGATTAGGTGGAATTAATTAAAAAAAAAAAAAATTTATTTTTTATTTTTTTAAAGTTTGGATAGAAAGAAAAATAAAAGAAACATAATATTTAATTTTCCACGTTTGTCTATTTTCTCCCAAAATTTACATGCACAAAACATGAAAAAATATTATTTTACCGTAAAAAGAGTGAATATTTTCTCGTGAAAAGAGTCTCTTTTATTTGACTTTTCTATTTTATCCAACTAACTTATTTGTATAATTTTCCTTTTGTGACTTTGTGAGGTGTCAACAAGTATTTTTAAGAAACAATCTTTTTTTTTTTTTTTGTTCCTCTGATACCGCTAGGCCATTGACTCATTGGTACACCTATCCTATTTTACTAAAAGGGAAAAAAAGTAAAAGAAAAAATGATAGGTTTATCTTTTTAAATATAAGACGTAAATAGTGATTAATAACGAAAAAATAAAATATCTAATTTGGAGGTTGAAAAGTAAAAAAAAAAAATATTAATATTTAGTTGAGCCTCTGCTCTCTAATTATGTTTAATCCAACTTCTAAAAATTCGTTGCCTTATTTTATTATAATTTTTTTTTATCATTCATTGCATAATATTTATTTTTAAAATTTTAACTAATATAAGGGTAGTTTTGGTAAGTAAAATCACTTTCTTTTCAATTTCAACTTACCCAAATTAACAAATTCATATTTTCTCATAAATTTCTTGAAAAATTTTCATACTTATCAAATACATAATAAAAACTTGATTTTTTTTCTTTCATTTTTATTTTTACTTTCTATCATAAATTTCTATCTAGCAAACAAACGGACCCTTAGAAAAATTAAGGTTGATCATAATTTTCACTTTTAAAAGCATGGATAGGCCAAAATCATCCCAATCTTTCGACCACTTCTCACTTTTAAAGCATTTGGCGCCCTTTTCCTTTAGAAAAATTTTGTTGATCACAAAGAATGTAAATGCATAAGAGAGAGACTGACGTGAGAGAGGACGTAACCTTGAAAACCAAATCACGTGATGAGATGCGACACCCCTGGATCACTTATTAAGTGATTAGCATGTGAGACGCCTTCCGTTATTAATTAGGACTCATTGGCGTCAGATATGACATATACATACACAAATACTATATGCCTTAATTTGGTTGGGTATTAATACTAAAACATGTATTGTATGAAAATTTAGACAACTCGAAAGTGGTCCGTGAGAGGACATAACATGATAATTTAGAGATAAGGATGAAATAAAATGACAATTGCACCCTTTGTTCCACGGTAGGTCCGTCCCTAATCGAAGATGACAGGCTTTCCCACCCACACACACACAGTGTTGTCCAAGTCCCACTCCTCACTTACCCCTACTTTTAGATTTTGTTCGGAGTTATCTGGCACGAAATATCTCATTTGATAATTCCCTTTACGTAACCACTGCACTAAGAAACAAAGCATATCTATACATCTCCAAATATTAGAATCACATGGTGGTAGGTCCAATGTGATGGAAGATTACCATGGGCTACAAAAATGTATTTTCTTTCACGGATAGCCATCCTTAATTTTAATTGTTTAGGGTATAAAAAGCCGACTTGCTTGGTCTGTCACTTAAACAAAAAAAAAATAATAATAATAAAAAAATTATATATATATTTTAAGAGAATTATAAAAAATAAAAAATTCTTACCAACCCAACAGTCTCTGAACAATTTAAAATTTTCATCTACTATTCTTTTGAAAAAATAAAGACATGAGTAGATATGGGACCACCCTTGGCCTACTACAATCAAATTGCCGCTTCCAAATATATATGGAGTAATTGATTAATAATTTGTTTTCAATTGTATTTGATGAAGTGTTGTGTCACTCTAGATGTTGATTCTTGTGTATCAAAAGTCAGCATTATCATACTCCCCTAGGTGGATCTCTTTCTCTCTCTAAATCTCTCTCTAAATCTCTCTCTCCCAACGTGTATAAATAGGGGGAGTCACCATGCACTTCTCATCCATCCCTTGAGCAGAACATTTCACATATAGCTACTAACTTCATCTTCTTCATTTCAATTCAATTCAAGATGGCTTACTCCAAGACTTCGCTTCTTTTTCTTGGTCTTGTATTTGCTGTCATGCTTGTCATTTCCTCCCACGTAGCTGAGGCAACCCAAACACGTGAGTAGTTCATTCCTTTTTATTTTGATATCACATAGAGTACATATACACACACACACATATATATAATTATATATGCACATATAACCAGGCAATGAACGTACACTGATTCGTTATTCTCACACTTTTTTTTTGGGCAAATGTTATTCTCACACATTCTCAACAAACCATTGAATATATACACACACACACGTACGTATGAATGTATATTTGTTGTAAACTTTATTTGTTATGTATATATGTTAGATATATCAATATTGAATGTTACATTTATAGATGTTGCATGATATTGTAAACTATTGAGCACCCTGTACTTTTCCTAATTAGTATCTTTTAGTAAGTTATTAGTAATGAAAATATATTTGAGGATTTCATTAATTATCTTTTAAAGAGGCAGGATCATAACTAATTTTGAAACTAATTATATTTTACAGAGGAGAGTGTGGAGGAGGCCAAGCATCACGAACATGGACATAGAAAAGGGCACGGATATGGACACGGAAAAGGACACGGAAAAGGACATGGACATGGCAAACCTGGCCACGGTGGTCACCCTGGACATGGTGCTGGTGAAACCGAATCCTACGAAAACTAAATGACTCCTGCCCCAATGGTACTCGTTCGCGGTACAAAGTAATCAAGTATGTGTATGTATGGTTGTATGTCAAATAAGGCATGGTGTGAAAATGCCACATTAGTACGTACCATTAGTGGACGTGTCAAGAATGTAACAGTTGAGCAGTCCCAGGACTTCATTTCTGTGTCTTCTTCGTGTGCCTTTGTATCCTAAATTTATGTATCAATGCACGACTTGAGTTACTTCAATTACTTTTCTCTCCAATGTGATAATTTAAAATTTAAACAGTAACAAATTTAGTGAACACCAACAAAAGTGACAAAAAAAAAGAAAAAAGAGTTTAAACAGTAACAAATTTAGTGACCAGAAAGATAGATTTAATGGCGACGTACCATGAATAATGAGCCAAAAGTTGATGATAATTAAGGACGGACATTAAAAATAATAATAAAAAGGAACAATAAGGTTTCACTAAACTTTTCAAATGTGGGTGCCAAGATTCCACCCAATTTAAAAAAATATATAAATGTCACTATATATAGATATACAATATATATAGAGAGAGGAAACCTTAATCTCCGGCGACTGGCAATGCTTATTCCGGTGATCTGAAAGCGCGTCGACAAAGGCCTTGCTTTTCTAGATTGATCTTTAGATTAACTGACCTTTATGTCCGATGAGTTGGCCCAGCCCACATACGACAAATAAGTAGTAAATGTCATGTGCGCTTGGCCTAGTGCCCAAATCCCCTAGTACATTACAGTACTTGGGTCTTATCCACTGGATCCGCAACACAAAAATTGTGTCAACAAGATCTCTGCGTTAAGTCACACAATCTTTGTCAATGGTGCTGTTCTTATACTCTGATCATATTCTCGCTCCTATTCCCACTATTTATGACTTAATCTTATCGGTTTTGTGCTCCCACTCTCGAATTCACTCTCGCACCCTATGTGACTTGGTATCGAAGATTTTCTCACTCAAAGTATTTACAAGCTTATATATGAAGGCTGAAAAGAGGTCACATTATCATTTTTGTTGAAATAAAATTATGAAATTGTGTATGAAACAATAACATGTATAATGGATAGTTAACCAGTAATGACACGACACATTTGTAATTGTTGACTTTGGACCTTTATATACTTGGAGAGGAAATATGTTCGGAGAGGATCCATTTTCGGATCACACGTGTCTTACAAACTACAAGATCCGCTACAATTTGAGGAATTCCTCAATTACATGATGGAATTCAGAATTTAAGTTTATAGGATCAATTGTAATTTTTTTTTAGAAGTTGGCATGCTTCTAGTAGGACTCGAACTGCTTTTTCACTATATATGCTTGTATGCATGCATCGACATAATTGTTCTTCTCAAACTAATATAACGGTTAATATCAATAGTATTATCACAATATAAAAAAAATTAATAGGGTTAATTACAATGACACCCCCCGAAGTTTATCCTATTGACAACCATATACAAGTTAATCCACTTTTGAACAATGACACCCCCTCAACTTTACTGCCTTTGACAAAGAAACCCATTGAGAGCTTGACGTGTGGTAAAATGACCCACGTGCCCTTTAACTTGTAAAATGACACTTTTAAATAGTGAAATTACCAAGTTACCCATTCTAATAAATTTGAAATGTCCAAAATAATCTCTCCCACATCTCTATATACAAATATTGTCAATATATACATAACCTCATATATATATATATATATATATATATATATATATATATATACATATGCGTTCCGTTCCATAGATATAACGTTTCAGTAAGGTCGCCGGAGCCCTGGGTTGTGCACGTTCCATGGTTCTCCAACGTACCAGTGGGGTGGTCACCGGAGTTTCGCGTTGGAATCAATGAAGCCCTAGGTCTATTGGAGAAAGACGAAACAACAGTGTTGAAAAATCGCCCAAATCGTGCCAAGCTTTTGTGTCAATAACACACCAAAACAGAATTTATTTTATCAGCAATATGTATATGTGTATATACCTCGCTTTACGATCTGGGTCTCTTCGAGTATCAAGTATGGAGATATATATCAAAGGGGAAGCGCACAATAACTTAAAATAAGTAAATCATTAAATTAGATAAGGCGGTGTATAACCGACCAAGCATATATATATATCAGAATGGATAATTAAAATATATAAGGCGGTATATAACCGACTAAGATGTATAACAAGATAAATGACTGAATATTAAACTGATATTAGAATCAGAAAGTAATTACAAAAGATTATTGAAAATAAAACTTACAAATTAATGTAACTGATAAATGTCTGATGTATACAGCATACTGGTGGTGTATTACACTCAGAAAGGGTAAATAAACAAGAACTGAATATTACAATTGGAACTGAATGAAGCCTGAATTATCTCTCAAGTGAAGTCTGGAATCACAGCCTTCGAAGCCTGTTGAGCAATGAGACTGACCACTGCATTTATAGGCGAGGCTAAAGACATCTGAGGCGCAATTTTTGGCTTTCAAAAAAGTGACTTTTGACTTTTCGGACTGCTTTTGACTGTTGGTGAATAGTGAGTTACTGTTTCTGTCGTTTGTATTGACGGTTACTGTAGATGAATAGTTCCTTGTTGGGAGCACTGTAGAAATAGTGATTCTGCCGACAGTTACTGTAGAAATAGTGACTTTGACCTGTGACTGTAGAAATGTTGACTTTTCCCAGAAAACACCCTTAGTAAGGATCATCATAGGGATTTTGACTATCTTGGAATACTGGGTCATCATATAGATTGGTAACTGGGTAACTGGATTCTTCAGCAGAGGGGGTATCTTCTGTTTCTTCTTCTTCTTGAGACATCTCTTGGATGCGAGAAGTTAAATCTGCTGCGATTTTCTTGAGGGAATCCAACTCTGATTTGGGAGTGGATTTGCGTGACTTTGAAGGAGTGACAGAGGTCAATTGTTTTGACCGAGTAACTTGCTATGGTGGAGGAGTGACTGTGACTGGAGTAACTGTGACTGGTGCTGCTGGGAATTCTTCTTTAATATAATCAAGAATCCTGGCAATTTTGAAAGCATCCCACCATTTAACATAGTGGCGACGAATGACTATGTTTCCCTGAATGTCATATAACCATTTGAAAATCCAAGGAACTTTGTATTTGCAGGAAAATAAGAATAAAATTGGGAATTGAGAGTTATGTTTACTGGTCTTGTAGATCGTATGGAAATACTTAACTTGATCTGCAAGAGTAAGAGGGACGACTTCTGGAATGGAGCCAAATGTTGACCACCATTTGAGAAACCAAGTAGGAATAGGGGCTTTGTAATTAAATTTGTTATCAAAACAAAGGAACCATGAATGGGTGAATGATGGATTTTGGTGAAGTAAAATAATAGACCAGGCTGTCATGTAATCATGATAGTTTTATGAACAATCATGATTTGGTAACTGTTTGGTAACTGTTGGGTGAGATCCCCATTCATCCAGAGACATGATCCGGATGATGTAGAGTGAATGGTAGATGGCTTTTTTGGGGTTGTTTTTATCATAAATTGGGTTAATCCGAATAGAGTTAGTGGAGTATAAAATATTCTTGTAGAATTGTAATGACTTGAAGGGATGACTGGCACTATAATGGAGATTAGGAGGGAAATAGGCTTTAACTAATTCTGCAAGGTCAGTAAGGTGACTCAGGGAAGGCTTAATATAGAATAAAGGAGAGTAAGGTTTTTCGATATCATCACTTGGTGACTTTGTGTAATCAGGTGTTTGTGACTAGGATTTTGTGGAATCTGAGTAAGGATCCAGGTTTGGATCAACTAAGGCTGATCGGTAACTATGGGGCGAGGAAAGTGGTTGGAATCTATTGGTGACTGTTAAAGCAGAGGATTGTGACCGGGTTTGTGATCTGGTAATTGGGGCTTTGCCGGAGCAAATATCAAATGGTTTAAGTAACTGGGGCCTCTGGGGAGGCTGGCTGGCTGTTATTAGATTTCTGCAAGAATTTTCTGGTAAGAAAATCTGGAATAGAATTGTTACTTCCTTTGATATATTCTATATCAAAATCAAATATACTTAATATAGCTTGCCACCGGGTAAAAATCTGTTTAGAAGCAATATTTTCAACATCTTTTTCTAAAACATATTTTGCACTTTGACAATCAACTCTAACTAAAAACTTTTGATTTAAAATATCATCTTGAAATTTACTAATACATAAAACAATAGATAAAATTTCTTTTTTAATAGTACTATAGTTACTTTGTGCTTTGGTCCAAACACCAGAATGGAATCGAACTAATTGTTCAGGTGCATTTGGACTGACTCGTTGTTTGAGGATGCCACCATAACCAATGTCAGAGGCATCAGTTTCGATTATTTTGAATGAATCAATAGTGGGAATGCCAAGACAAGGCAATGACTTGACATAACGCTTAATAGATTTAACTATATCAATATGGACAGAGGTCCATGGAGGAGGGTTATTCTGAAGGCGATCAAAGAGGGGCTTACATTACTTGCAAAGATCCTTGTAAAAATCAGCAATATAATTTAGAGACCCTAAGAATCGCTGTAATTGTGACTTCTCTAAAATTTGATCTGGGAATTTATCAGTAAATTGAAGAGACCTATCAATAGGACGAATTTGGCCTTGATAGATATGGTAACCAAGAAACCTGATATTGGTTTGGAATAGCTTGATTTTTGTAGAAAAAACAACAAGACCGTTCTTCTGAATAGTGGCTAGAAACGATTTTAAATGTTTCCAGTGTTCATCAATTGACTTGGAATAAATGAGGACATCATCAATATAAACAATGGAAAAGTGACTATAAGGATTGAAAATATCATTCATGATATTTTGGAATTCACTAGGAGCATTTTTTAATCCGAAGGGCATTACTTTCTATTCATAATGACCAAATGGAGTGGTGAAGGCAGTTTTGTACCTATCCTTCTTGTGAAGACGGATCTGCCAAAATCCTGACTTCATATCGAATTTGGAGAAAATAACTGCTTGACTAAGGCGACTAATAAGATCTTTTTTATTGGGAATAGGATACCTAATCCATTCTAAGACCTTATTTAGAGGCTTGTAATTGATGACTAGACGAGGAACACCTCTTTCCAGTTCAGAGTTTTTCTGAACATAGAAAGCGGGACATGACCAAGGTGACTTGCTTTTCTTAATAATCTTCTTATGTAGAAGATCATTAATTTCTTTTTTACAAAATTCCATGACTTCAGGGTTCATTTGGATA